TGAGTCCGCGCTTGGCCCCTCTCTCAGCGCCTCCGGCGCCGCCCCTGGCGCGCTCCGCGCGCCAGGGAGGGGGGTCTGGCGCAGATCCAAGAAATCCGCGCGGAGCGCCAAAAGTTTATGGTCACGTGTTTTTCCCCTTCTTCTAGAGAGGGGCCCTGCCCCCCGCGAGGCGCACTTGGCTGGGCGGCGAGGTCCGCACCCCATCCTCGCCGATGCACGGCTCAGGCGACCCGATGCCACCGAGCGCGCCCCACTGCTCGCAAAGTGCCGGCTCGCAAGCGTCCGAAGAAAACCCAAGCACTCGTCGTCATGATGAATCGCAGATCCCCCGCGGCGGATCCAGGCCATCTGCGAGCAGTTGCTCTGCGAGTCGTGGGACGCACTTGCCCACGAGGGGCGGCGGGGATAGGGTTCGGAATTGGTCGAGCGCGTGGCAAACTCCGAGCCCTGCCCCCCGCCTCCCCTTCGAGTCAGGAGGGCCGATGGTCGATGGGGGGTCGACTTCGGATCCCGCCGCCCAGAGGCGCGCTTCGCCGAGGAGGCGCCGACAGAGCGCCGCGCGTTTCTGCTCTGATGTTTGATGCTGTTAGCTGGCATACTTTAGGTTACGTTTGCCACTTCGTCGGCCCCTGCAGCTACATCGATGCAAACCGCACAGCTGCATCATAGTTACACGTTGGAAGGAAAAACGGCGAGGTCCGCGACGGCGTTCTGCGGATCGCTGGAGCTCTCTTGGGAATTTCTTGGTTCGTCATGGAGCGATGGGCCGTCTTGTAGGCATCTTGGGGCCCTCTTGGCTCTCTTGGGGCCATCTTGTTCGAGTTGGAGGCGTCTGGGAGCCATCTTGGAGGCCGCATGCGGAATCTTGGAGGCGGGTGCTCCTCTAGTTTCAGGTCTTTCCAAGGAATCGGCAGGTTGGGCTGGAGAGCAGTGGGACATTCCCCAGTCAGTGCTTGCACTGAAGGCGTCACATGGCGGTGGTTGAACGATTTGACGACGGGTTCTTGGGTTCTTCGTTCTGGGTTCCCGGGTCCCCGGTTCCCGGAGGCCCGCTTGCTGGTTTGGGACCGATTCCGGTGGTCGGCAGGGTTTCTCGGGTTCCAATTTCTGTTTCCCGGGTTCCCGACTTCCTGGTTCCCGGTCGATCTCACGGTCGATCTCATTATCGATCTCACCATCCATCTCGCTTGTTGCTGGTGCCGGACCGATTTCGGCGGGCAGCGGGGTTTCGGGGTTCCAGTTTGTGTTTCCCGGGTTCCCGGGTTCCCGCTCGATCTCATTATCGATCTCGCGATCTATCTCATTATCGATCGCACAATCGTTCTCACGATCGATCTCACATTCGATCTCACTATCAATCTCACGATCGATCTCACTATCGATCTCACGATCGATCTCACGATCGATGTCACCATCAGCATCACCATCGATATCAATATTTATATTTACATATATACATTATCGATATCACTATGAACAGCACTATCGATCTCACGGTCGCTCTCACTATCGGTCTCACTATCGATGTCACTATCGACGCCGTTATTGATCTCACTATCGATCTCACTACCGATCGCACTAGCGATCTCACTACCGATCCCACAGGCGATACCACTATCAATCGCACCATCGATCCCACTGTCGATCTCACGATTGATTTCACTAACGAACTCACTTTCCATGCCACTCAATCGATCCCACTATCGATATCAGTATCGATAGCACTGTCGATATCACTACCGATCTAACTATCAAACACAAGATCGATGTCACGATCGATTCCGCTTACGATCTCATTCAATCGATATCAGTATCGATCTCGCTATCGATCTCGCTATCGATCTCACCATCGATCTTACGAACAATATCACTATCGATTTCGTTATCGATCTCACTCAGTCGACCTCACTACCAATCTCAAACACGATCTCACGAACGATCTCTTATTCGATCTCACCACTGGACAGCACCATCGATCTCACTATTGACCCCACTATCGATCTCACGTTCGCTAGCATAGCATATTTTGCACTGCACATACCATAGCATGGGACACCCCGACGCCACGGGACACCACGGGACACCATCGGGGCTTCATCTGGACACCATCGGGACACCACAGGGCCACTTCCTGCCAACTCTCGGGAAGCAACGTTTGGCTCGGCTTCGCCTTGGCAACGGCGGGTTCATTCCTCTCGCCCGCCCATGCAGATTCGCCTCGCCCGCACGCGCGACTCGAACACGAAACCGAAACCGAATTCCCGGTGGAGGGCTCCGTTTCACTGCGATCGTACCCGCAATTTCCAATAGATAGACAGATAGAGAGAGAGAGAGATAGAGAGAGAGGGACAGCATGGAGATACAGAGAGGGAGAGAGAGACATCAGGGCAAGAGTGACAGAGTAGAGATAGGGAGAGATCTAACACAACGTATGGAGACAGTTCGTGTATGTATACACATTTCCGCAGAGAACACATCGTGAGCGTCATACATATATAAAGAGAGGGGGATCGATGCATATTGAGAAATCGGAGGTGAGGGGGTGAGATCGAAGTGGAACGGAGAGCCCCCCTACCGGGAAATCGATTTCGGTTTCGTGTTCGTGCGTGCCGTGCGTGCGGGCGAGGCGAAGCTGCGTGGGCGGGCGAGAGGAAAGTCTCCTGTGGCTGAGGCGCGGCCGGACCAAATGATTCTCCACCGGGCGGCCGGTGGCGCGCGGTGTCCCGCCGGTGTCCCGGTGGTGTCCTCTGTGGCTGAGGCGCGGCCGGACCAAATGATTCTCCACCGGGCGGCCGGTGGCGCGCGGTGTCCCGCCGGTGTCCCGCCGGTGTCCCGTCGGTGTCCCGATCATGATGTTGATGATGATGATTATGATGATGATGATGATGATGGTGATGATGATGATGATGATGATGATGATGATGGTGATGATGATGATGATGATGATGACGATGATGATGATGATGATGATGATGATGGTGATGATGATGATGATGATGTTGATGATGACGATGATGATGATCGATAGTGAGACCGAATGTGAGATTGATTGTGAGATCGATTGCGAGATCGATAGTGAGATCGATAGTGAGACCGAATCTGAGATCGATAGTGAGCTCGATAGTGAGATCGATAGTCAGATCGATTGTGAGATCGATCGAATGAGATCGATAGTGATATCGAATGTGATATCGATAGTGAGACCGAATGTGGGATCGATTGTGATATCGATTGTGAGATTGATTGTGAGATCGATAGTGTCACCGAATGTGAGATTGATTGTGAGATCGATTGTGAGATCGATAGTGCGATCAATAGTGAGACCGAATGTGAGATCGATTGTGAGATCGATTGTGATATCGATAGTGAGATCGATGGTGAGACCGATTTTGAGATCGATTGTGAGATCGATAGTGAGATCGATAGTGAGACCGAATGTGAGATCGATTGTGATATCGATAGTGAAATCGATAGTGAGACCGAGTGGGAGATCGATGGTGAGATCGATAGTGAGACCGAATGTGAGATCGATTGTGAGATCGATTGTGATATCGATAGTGAGATCGATGGTGGGACCGAATGTGAGATCGATTGTGAGATCGATAGTGAGATCGATAGTGAGACCGAATGTGAGATCGATTGTGATATCGATAGTGAAATCGATAGTGAGACCGAATGGGAGATCGATAGTGAGATCGATAGTGAGACCGAATGTGAGATCGATAGTGAGATCGATATTGATATCGAGAGTGAGATCGATCGAGTGCGACGTTGGTCCCTCCCCCCCCTCACCTCCTTATCACCCGAAGGGTGGTCGTATAGGTATACATATATATATAGAGAGAGAGAGAGAGAGAGAGAGACATCAAGAAAGAGAGAGGGAGAGGGACATCTACAAACTAGACTGGACTACAACGTACATTCGAACTACACTATGGCGGGAGAAAGGGGGATGGAGACACATGCAAAAGCATTTGAAGTTCACGCAGTGGGGTTTTCTGAGGTGTTTGTTTGGTGGATGAGACAGAAAGTAAATTATAGTTCGGCACGACAGGATCCATCCGGCAGGCTACGCGGGCGGCGGATCGAAGACGTCTACGGCGAATCACCGCCGCCCCCTGCTTTTCGGAAACGCCCATGTGGACAAACGATGGGCCGAAGGCTGGCCAAGCTATTGGACTATGTGTTCCCCCAGCCGTTGTGGACCCCCTTGCGGGAACACTTGAGAGAGCAAGGGACAGGAGGCGGAGGAGTAGGAAGAGGAGGAGGAGGAGGAAAGGGAGGAAGAGGAGGCATCTTGAGCTCCCCTTTGGGCCTCCTGGGGGCTTCCCGGGAGCCTCTGAAAGGCATACTAGGGGGCCTCTCAAGGGCCTCCTGGGGCTTAGTGGGCCTGGGGGCCTCCAGGGGGCCTCTTGTGGCCTTCAAGGGACCTCGTGGCCTCTCGGAGGCCGTCTCGGGGCCCTCTCCGGGCAGTCGTGGGTCCCTCTTTGGGCGCTTCAGGGCCGCCTCGGAGGTGCGCGGGGCCGCCTCGCGGGGCGTCTCAGGGGCAGTCTCAGGGGCCGTCTCGGGGCCCTCGTGGGGCCGTCTCGCGGGCGTGTGAAGAACCAAAGCACTCAAACGTCCAGCATGCCGTGCACCCCTGTGGCAAGCAACAGGGGGCGGCGGATCCATTGATACTCGGCCCATCCCGCCACCGCGCTGGTGTCGTGGACCAGGGGCCTCCAGGATGCCTCGTGGCGCCCTCGGGGTCTCTTGATGGCGTCGTGGGGGTTTCTTGGGGGCCTCTTGAGACCTACAGCTGGCCTCTGGGGAGCCTCTGGGGTCCTCTTGGGGGCCGGCTGGCGGTCTCGAGGGCGATCGTGGGGGGGAGAGTGCTCCTGGGCCCCCTTCGGGCCCCCTTGAGGAGCTCTCCCCGAAGACCTCCTGGGAGAGTCGTCGCCTGACGGGCGTCAAGGGCAGAGATCGGGGGCTGCCGGCCAGCCCCCCCCCCCACCCCGCAGGCGGCTGCCCGCGCCCAGGCTGCGCGGGAGGCGCGCAAGCAGAACGAGACTGCGGAGAGCAGCACGCCAGCTTCGGTCGTTGCCGTCGCCGTCGTCGATTGTTTCCCGAAGGTAGGTCATCCACTGTCGATCTACAGCCGGACCGAGGTACAAGATCGAGGTCGCTTCGGAGAGGGTACCTTGGTGTTCTTCGTGTTTGTTGTTGGATGTTCTTGTGCATCCAGGTGAGGGTACACTTGGCTGTTCTGTGTGTTTTGGCTGGCGGAGGGTCTCATGTTCCTGAGGGATGTTTTTTTGTGGCCTGGGTCCGACTGTGCCTTAGGCCATCCCCCTTGTCGATCTATGGAAGCGTCTCTGGGCGTTCGCTCGAGGCCGCCTGCATATTCTTTGAGGCCAACGCTCCCGCTGGAGCGTGGGCTCGGGTTCCAATCCTGGTCGAAGGCCTGACTGTGACGACAGCGGCTCCCGCTGGATACTTCCTGACAGTCTACTCTGAGATGCCCTGGCCAGAGAGTTCCAAATTTCGGAAACTGCGCTCGAGCTGGAGGCTTCCTCGCAATTCAGTCGAGCGTGTGAAGGTCGAACTACGATGACGAGGCCTCCCGGTCGATGCTCCCTCGCATCTTACCCCGCGAGGACTTGACAAGAATGGCGCTCTCGCTCGAGGTGTTTCTTGCAATGCAGTTAAGTTGGTTGAGGCCCAGCTATGGCGACAACGGCTACTGCTCGACTATTTTGTACACTTGACTCGGAGAGGCCCTGGCCAGGGGGGCCCTCAATTGCAGGAACAGCGCTCTCGCTTAAAGCGTCCTTGCAATTCGGTCAAGTTAGTAGTGTAGGCCCAACTACCGTGGAGACCCATGCCAAGAAACATTCTCCTTGCCTTCAGGGTGCCCTGGGTTTCTTGTCTCTCGATGGTTTTGCGATGGAAAGCGTGACGTTCCCTCACCAAAAATCACTGGACGTCCTAGGGTCTCAGGGTTGGGTTTCTTGTGGCAGGTTTCTTGTGGAAGGGCCCCCCACTGTATGACGACAACGGCTCCCGCTCAATGCATCCTCACAGTTTGCTCGGAGGTGCCATGCCCAGAGGGGCCCCAAAATTCAGGACCGGCCTTCTCGCATATCCGTTGGCGAAGGCCCAGCCACGTCGACAGCGGCTCCCGCTCGATGCTTCCTCACGAATTACTCCGAGACGCCATGGCCAGAGAGGCCCCTAGATTCAGGAACGGCGTTCTCGTTGAAGAATTCCGCGCGTTGCAGTCAAGCTGATGACGGCCCACCTGCGAAGGCAGCGGCTCCCGGGTCCTGCTTCCTCACGGTTTCCCTCGAGATGCCCTCCACGCCTCGCTCGAGTTGGCAATCCCCCACTGCAGTCACACCGGTTCCCTGTCTGCTCTGCCTCGTCATCTGCTCGCGTGCGCCCTGGTCATTTGCATTGTCACACTTGGGCATGGCGCTCTCGCCCGAGTCGTCTTCGTGATGCATTCTATGTTGTGATAGCTCGGCTGAGACTCGAGGAACGGAACATAACATAAACATCAAAACTCGGAGGTCCGCGCGGATTTCTCGGATCGGCGCTGGGCCCCCCCTGGCGATGCCTCTGGCGCCGCCCCTGGCGCGCTCCGCGCGCCAGGGAGGGGGGTCCAGCGCGGATTCGAAAAATTAGCGCGGACCGTCGAGTTCTTTTATGTCTATGTCATGTTTCGTCCCCCTGAAGACGGCAACGGTCTTCTCGATATTCCCCTGTAAGCGGTATCGGTATATTGCGGTGCCCCCAGACTCAGATGAGATGAGAGAGCGGCCTGAAGCCAGGTTCAGAGCTGCTCGAGACCCCCCATGGGGACGGCCTCGGATAGAGCGGAAGAGGACGGAGGAAGACGAGGGGAGGAGGAGGAGGGCGGAGGACGAGGGGGGAACAGCGGGAGGCGGGAGTAGGGCGGAGGTTAAGGGACGACTGGAGATGGAGGGAAGCGGGAGGATGAATGGGAAGGAGAGGGAGAAGAGGGAGGCAGGGCATCAGTTGCATGCTCGGGCGGGGAACGGACCCATGCTCGCGGATCTGGCACGGAGCACCCTGAGACAGGCTGGGGGAGTGGAAATCTTGCGGAGGGGAAAAATCCCGAAGGATAACACGGACTCCTTACCTAGCAGCGTTGCTTCCTGATGTCTAGTCGTCGTTGCAGCGGCGCCGGCGCTGCGCCTGCTTCAGCTCCTCCGCCTCCTCCTCCTCCTCCTCCTCTTCCTCCTCCTCCTCCTACTCTTCTTCCGACGACGACGACGAAGGAGACGGCGTCGACGGCGAACGATGACGAGCAACGACCGCGAAGCTGACGATCGACGATGATACATAACAAGAAAACGACGGTAACAGACGACGACGAGATGGAGAACGACGACGGCGGCAACGAGCAACGACAAGGACGACGAGCAACAGCGACGGGCACCTTGTGATCATGTGATGATTTAACCAGCTACTTACACTTTCATTTGTTTCGTCCTCCCTATTGTACGGGGTAACTGTGGAATTGAACCAGACCTCGTCTTTGGGTGAAGCTGTGGGGGCCAAGAGGTACCGATACCGCTATTTCCTGGACCTCTCCAGGGGCGCGCTCTGACCAGGATCTCGAGGCGAATCCAGTGGTGGCGACGAGGGCCTCCACAGAGGCTCAAACACGGGAAAACGAGGGAAAGGTGGGAGTTAAGTCGGGCATGTCCCCCTACCGGCGGATTTTGGACGAAACATAAAACATAGCCAACAACTAATCAAAAACAATCAAAGATATGCACAACGTATTCAAACATACAACAACAAAAAAGGGTTTGGGTACCTCTTCCTACTCTAAGAAGCAGTCAGCAGTGCGCTCTGCGTTTCCGCCACGCTGGCATGGCCTTCATGCTGAGCTCGTGGGCCACCCGTTGCGACGACGGCTTCCAAGGAGGCCCAAACAGGCGAAGACAAGGAAAAACGGTAGCGGTGCACCCCCCCCCCTAATTTGGACTACGCACTTGACGTGACCCGAACCTCGGCGACACCGATCCTGGCCCACGCGGAGTGGGGGGGACATTTTTGATCCTGGCGACACGCTTATCTCGGAAAGGTGCTCCGACCCGTGCGCGGGCCACATCTCTGATTGAAAATGTTGTTGCCGCCTAGGCGCCGTCGATATCCTTAATTGAGCGTGTCGTTCTCGCACTGGCGCTGGCCACATCTCTGATTGAAAATGCTGCTGTCGCCAAGGCGCCAGCGACATCTTTCATTGAGCATGTCGGTCTCGCCTTGGCGCCGTCCACATTTCCGATTGAAAGTGTTGCTCTCGCCGTGGCGCCAGCGGCATCCTTCATTGAGTATGTCGTTCTCGTCATGTCGTTGGCCACATTTTTGATTGAGAATGTTGCTGTAGCGTGTAGGCGCTGGCGACATCCTTCAATGAGCATGTTGTTCTTGCTTTGGTTATTGCCACATTTCTGATTGAAAATGTTGCTGTCGCCCAGGTGCCAGCCACATGCTTGATTGAGCATGTCGTTCTCGCCTTGGCGCTGGCCTCATCTGTGATTTAACATTGCGCTTTGTGCCGATTCGGCGCAGGCCGCACCCTTGATTGGGAATGCCGTTCACACCTTGATTATCGATTGTACCATCTCTGGGGCGCCCGCCACATCTTGATTGCGAATACCGTTCTCGCCACTGGGAAAGACGCAGCCTCAAAAGCCTGTGGCTGCGCAAGTTTCCGGATCGCGGCCCCATCCGCGGCCAGGTTGGCACCATTGTACCGTTTGGGTCTCTTCGCGTTGCGCTACCGGTCATCGTAGTGATGGTCACATTGGTGCTGCTGGTGCCTTTAGCAGTGCTGTGCTGCTGGTGGCGCTGGTAGTGCCACTCGTTGTGCTGCGGCTTCCCTTCGTACGGCTCGTTGTGCTGCTGCTGGTGCACGCAGTGTTGCTGTTGTTTCCCGTCCTGCTGGTCACTGGGGCTGCTGATGGCGTTAGTCGTGCTGCGGCTGGTGCTGCTGCTTCCCGTCCTCCTGGTCACAGTGGTGTTGCTGGTGGTGTTCGTGCTGCTGCGGTTGGTGCTGCTGTTTTCCGTCGAGCTGGTCACAGCGGTACTGCTGGTTGCGCTTTTGCTGCTGGTTACCGTCGTGCTGGTCATGCGGGTGCTGCTGCTTGCGCTGGTGTTGGTGCGCGTGGTGTTGCTTTCAACCGTGCTGGTCGCGCTGGTGCTGCTGCTGGCGCTAGTTGTGCTGCGCGTGCTGCTGCTGCTGCTGCTGCTGCTGCTGCTGCTGCTGCTGCTGCTTCCCGTCGTGTTCGTCACAGTGCTGCTTCATGTCGTGCTCGTCACAGTGGTGCTGCTGGTGGCGCTGGTGCTACCGTATTCGGTGTTGCTGCTTGGTGTCGTTGTGGTCACACTGGTGTTGCTGGCAGAGCTTCTGCTGCGTCTCGTGGTGCTGCTGCTTCCTGGCGTGGTCGTCATACTGGTGCTGCTGCTGTTGTTGTGTGTTGGTCTGCGTTGTGGTGCTGTTTGCTGTCGTGCTTCTCGAAGAGGTACTGCTGGTGTCGCTTGTATTGCTTGCGCTAGTGCTGCTGGTGGCGCTGGTGCTGCTGCTGCTGCTACGCATGGTGCTGCAACTTCTGGTAATTCTCGTTTCGGTGGTGCTGCTTGTTGTGCTACATCTGGTGCGCCCACAATTACGACGGAATCTCTCGCCTCACCGTTGGCCACATCTACTTTCGCGACTGCTGTATTTACCTCCATCCCCAGCCGCATCCATGATTGCGAATGCGGATTTCGCCTCAGCGCCAGCCACATTTGCTTGCGAACTTTCTTTTTCGCTTCAACGCCGGCCACATCAATGATTGGGAACATTGTTCTCGCTTCAGCGCCAGGCGCATCACGTTTACGACGGGTGCTCTCGTCTCAGCGCCAGCCGCAAACATGATTGCGAGAGTTGTCCATGATTGCGCAGGTAGGTGTCGCTTCAGCGCCGGTCAGACTCCCCATTGGAACCGAAGAGGGACCAGCGATACATTTGGCCCTTTTGCACTGCATGGTGCCGTGCTGCTCTATTCTGGTGTAGAAGTTGCTACAGCGCGCGCGTGGCACTGGTGCTGCCGAGCCGTTGGTCGGGTTCGCTGTGATGGGTCGAGTTAGCTTCGGGTCAGCTGCGGGTAAGGATGTACCAGGTTAGGGGGGGCGCGCATTCGTATTTGTTCCTTCCTCCTTGCCCCTTGCCCCTTGCCTCAAGTCGGGCGTGCCCCTCTACAGGAGGAGTATTCCAAAATGGTCAAAGCATAGTCTTGAGATGATTTGTTGAGAATTTTGTGGCTATGTTTGAGAATTGTTGTGACTATGTTTTATCTTTCGTCCAAAATCCGACTGTAGGGGGACATGCCCGACCTACAGTCGGCCCTGATGAGTAGGTCGACCCTGCCAGCTCAAGGGTACCCTTGTGTCCTTCTTGCACTCCCATGGCGATGTGGCCTTCGGAAGGGTCTTGTGTCCTCTCGCGTGTCCTCTCCAGTCAAGTCCGACCGCAACCCTTGCCCTTCCCCTCCCCTTCTGCAGGAGAAGGAGGCGAGGCTGCGCACCCGGAGGGAGCTCGTGGCCGCCTTCCTGAGGAGCCGACGCTGCGCGCGTGCGGCCCCCCTCTTGCCGCCACCAGAGCCGCTGCCGCCGGCCGCCTCAGCCGCCGTCGTCGCCGTCGCCGTCGCCGTCGCCGTCGTCGTCGCCGCCGTCGTCGTCGTCGTCGTCGCCGTCGTCGGCGTCGTTGTCGTCGCCGTCGTCGTCGTCAGCGTCTTCCTCGACGTCGTCGTCGTCGACGTCGTTGCCCGCCGCCGCACGACGGGGCGGGGCGGCGACCGCCGGAAGGCCGCCCCGGGCGAGGCGCGCGCCCGAGGCCGCACCCGGGCGCGGCGGCGTCCTCCTCTGCGCTGGCCTCCGGGTGAAGCCCAGGGGAAGTCAGGGCCCCGGGGGCCCCCCAAGCGGGGTGGTGACCACGCCGTGTGGTGAGTCGGTGGGGATTCGGGGTCACCGCACGGGTTTGGGACTCGGGTCGTGCTCCGAGGACGTCTCGAGCGACAGGGGCCTCCAGGGTCCCAGGACTGGGGGATGACGGACCGTGCGGTGAGGTCTCTTGGGATTCCGAGCTCACCGCGCGGTCTGTCACCACACGGTCTTGAGATCCCCAAAAGCTCCCCCTCTGTCCGGATTCCGTCTCCCATTCCTAACCCTGCAGAGCAGATCTCTGCCACACTAGGTCGCGGGAGGCCTCGGGGCCTCAATGGCGCCATCGCTCGCTCGTCGCGCGAGCCTCGATTTCGTCGTCGCCGAATGATGCCGAATTCTCCGTGTTCGCCCTCCAGCCCTCGCGGTGAAGGCAGCACGGCTTCAAGGGCGTGGGGGCCATGAAGCGGATGATGCTCAGGCTCGGTGTTGCGTGCCTTGCCGCCGCATCGCCGCGCGGTTCCGTGCCCCCCTTCGCCGCATCGCTTGTTTTCTCCGGGCAGTGCTTGAAATTACGGGTTCGAATGTGCTTCTCGGGTTTTTGTTGGCCCGTGGCCGCTTCGTGCGCTGGCAGGGCTGTATACCCCATATCTTGAGCGAAGCGCTTGTTCTCTCAGGCCATCTCCCACTCCTCCTTCTCCTTCTTGGAAGAGGAAGAGGTACCCATACTTACCGCTACCATTCCTTCGTTTTCCCCTTTTTGGGTTTCCTGAGAGGCCCTCGATTCGCTTCGAAATCCTGGTCAGAACGCACCCCATTAGAGCTCAGGGGAGTAGCGGTATCGTACCTGTTGGTTTCCCCATTTCCTCTCATCTTTTCCTCCTTCAATGCGAACACTTTTCTATCACCCCCTGCATACATGCGCTTCTGGCTGGAATAGTCTCAGTGAATACCACCTGCCCTCCTCTTGTATGTATCTCCCACTCCACCAGTCCCACCAACCACCCCCGAGTGCCTCTCCCAGTGAATACCACCGCACACGCTGCACGAGTTCCTGGTTGTTCCATCAGGGATCGTGCTCTCCCCACCTCCACCAGTTCTACCAGTCCCACCAGACACATCCGTTTGTAACTTCGCCGCGCCAGACCGCGCCAACTTTGCGAATCCGAGGTTAGGGGGTTCCTTCTCAAATTCTTATCATTATTTCCCTCCCGCTCTCCATCCCCTCCCTCTCATAATCTTCCTGGCCATTTCGACGTATCCCAACCCTCCGTTCTTCCCCTCGTCATGTCGTCTCTGTTAGATTCCCTTCCTCCTTCTCTTCCTCCTCCACCTCCTCCTCCCCCTTTTCCGTTCGCCATAACATGGCCAATTCAGGACCGTTGCGTCCACATTATTATCTTCTGATTTTGTTGTTCCGTCTCCTCATATCCTCGCTCCCCGAAACCTCGTCCGAGATCCTCCGAAGCCCTCTTTTAACCTCCATGAAGCTTCCTCGAGACAACGCCAGATAATCACGGAATCATGAGAAAACCTCATCTTTCACTCCGGTTATTTCTTTGCCTCGCAAGGTCAATTCAATTTTGTTGTAGCCCTTTCCCACTCAGAACTCCACCAGTACCGAAGGCGCTGGCTGTGGAAACCGTGACCCACACGATCATGCCCTTCCACGCCGTCGCGACAGCGTGTTCACCCTACTTCACAATGAGGTGTGCAAGCGCAATTGGAGTACAGCAATCCAAGGCCGAAACAAGTACCGCGGGCCAGGACTGAATGCCTGGCGAACACTCCCCCGTAAGCCCATCACTCCTGCACGCGACAGTCATCGTGTGGCCTCGGGGGCCTCGGCGCCATGGCTGGCCTCAGGGGAGACCTGGCCTTGCGACCCAAGAGCCCGACTGAGTCAGTCAGAAAACATCAGGAGGCGTGAACACGACAGCTTCGCCAGTTCCTACATCCCTGGCTCCGCCCGCAGCCGCCGCTCGCTTGAAGCCACCGACGGCTGAAGACGCCGCACTGCTCTGGCGAAGGACGGGATGATCCTGCGAAATTGCGCTCGGCAGCCTCCTGAGTGATGTGCACCACTCCCCACTCTGGCTCGCGGGGTGGGGACCACGTCGGCACCGCGATTGGATGGAGCCGGCCGCAGTCGGGCAGCGGCAGGCGCATCCTACCTCCGCATTCTCCTCAAGGGCACCCTCCCCCGCCGAGCCCTGATGGAGGCAGGATTAGGGGAACGACGAATGACATGAACATAAAAACTCGGAGGTCCGCGCGGATTTCTCGGATCCGCGCTGGACCCCCTTCCGTGGCGCGCGGAGCGCGCCAGGGGCGGCGCTGGAGACGCTGCCAGGGGGGCCCAGCGCGGATCCGAGAAATCCGTGAGGACCTCCGAATTTGTATGTTCATGTCAATGCTCGTTCCCCTAAGGAGGGGTGTGGTCGGCGCGTCCTTTTTCGAGCTGCGCCACCAGCTGTATTGCGCCCGCGGGGCGCCGACGATCCGGGCCAAGTGGGCTCCGCCCACTTAGCGGAATCCTCTGACCCCGCTGAGCCGCTCGGGGCCCTTGCAACCTACGTGTAAGCCAGGTTGGGCCAGATATACACCTTAGGCGATGCTTAAGAATACCCAAGTTTTCGGCCAGAGTCTCGATTATTCTTAATGTTTCAATGTAAATCCCAAGATTTGAATAGACATTCTGGGCTTTGATTCAAATCCTGAGACAATGAATTTCTTAACCCATGATTTCTAAAGCATTTCGCAGGGTGTACCCAGCCCTAGCATCCACTCGTAATAACCCGCCCATCCACTCAGAACCCCCCACGGTCATCCCAGTAGGGTTCGCGTGTGGCCCCCGGATGCGCGCGCCTCCGAGAGGGGGATGGTGCCGTCGCCTCCTCTCGCACGGCCGCGGCCGCGGCCGCGCGGCCGGCCAGCTCCTCGCTCGGCAGGCCCAGCTCCGGCGCTCCAGCAGCCAGGCTGCGCGCAAATCTGGGCGGTCCCTCTACAGGAGGAGTATTCAAAAATAGTCAAAAAATAGTCTGGGGACGATTATGTTTGAGTGTGTGTGTGTGTTGACCATTTTGGGTGTATTGTTTGACTATTCCTTATTTTTCGTCCAACATCCCCCTGCAGGAGGACAGGCCCGACTTGAGACTACGATCTTCTGCGGCACGGACGGGCCGAGAGTCTTGCCGAGCCGCGAGAGGACGCACTTGCCCTTCGAGGAGGGCTTGAAGCTGCCACCACTCCTCGTGGCCCCAGTCGCCCCGCAGACCAGGCACGCGATCGTCGTCGGGGCCGCGGACCGGGGTGCCTTCGGCCAGCGGGTTGATCTCAATCAGCCGAGGGCACCTGGCCTCGCTCTCTTCCAACCCGCGGTCGTGCTCCCGGGCGGCTTGCGCGACGGTGCCCGGGCACTGGCCCGCGCGCTCTGCCCAGCGACAGCGAGCACACCCCCGCGCCCCGGAGCAGGCGGGGCGCCGGCGGCGGCGGCGGCCACAGCCCACGGCGCAGGCGTTGTGCGGCCTGGCGGTGCGGTGCGTGGCGTCGCAGCCGCCGAGCGCCGTGCCCACCGCCGAGGCCCTCGTCGCCACGCCCTCCACGGTCGGGTTGGCCATGGCCAGCTCGCGGCACGCCTCTGGCGGCAGACGGCCACAGCCAGCAGCACCCTTCGCTGCCCCCGTCGGCGAGCGGGCTGCCGCACGAGTCGCGGCGCGTGGCGCGGCCACCGTCGGCCACCGGCCTCCGAGGTCGGTGAGCAGGCAGCCTCTGCACGGCGAGGCTATCGCGCAGGCCGCCGAACTCGTCCAGGAGCCTCCACGCCTCACGCCTCCACGCTTCTCGCCACAGGTGCGAACACGCGCAGCCGAAGCTTGTGGTCTTGGCGCGCCCGTGCTCCGAGAGGCCCAGGATCGCGAGATTGTTGTCCGCGATCGCGGTGACGGGCGGCACCGCAAACCGCAGCACCGCCAGCATCGCCGAGAGCCTCCCCGCCGTGGATGTCCACGAAGGCCTCGCACAGCACGCCCGGGAGGCCCATCTTGAACTTCTCGGCGTTGGGCAGCAGGGCAATGACCGTCCAGTCGCGACGCTCTCATGCCTGCCGAGGTCGCCCTCGCACGCTGCGCCGTACAGGAACAGCTCCCCCGACAGCATGGAGCCCTCATGCCGGCCCATCCAGCACACCTCGGGCGCCCGTGCATGCATCGCGAGGCCCAGAGTCGACGGCCACAGCGCCCTCCTCGAGCAGCACCTTCGCCTCGAGCAGGTCGGCGCTGATTGGCAGGTCGCGCATCTTGCTCGGCAGCGGGAGCTCGCCGGGCCACCCGTTGCAGCAGCAGTGCATGGGGAGGAGCGTGCCCAACTCGCCGCAGAGGAGAGAGTCGAGAGCCGTGCCGCACTCGTGCCTGCGGCTCCGCAGCCACCGGCTGTCCGCGATGGCGGGGGCCGGGCAGCCCATCTCTTTGGGCGTGAGCCGCACTGCTGAGCGAAGAGGACCGCTGCCCAGCGGGTTTGACATTCCGGGTTCAGCAACATTTGGCGACGCCGACCGCTGAGCAGCAGGTCATGACATGTGGAGACGACGCCGACCGCTCGCCAGCAGGTTCTGACATTCCAGCAGGTGCTGACAGTCCGGGCTCCGAGGGTCCCCACGCCTGGACATGACGGCCAAACACCCCATGGCGCCCAGCAGTGCCCGACTTCGTCGTCCTCACCAGCGGGTCGATCACGCCACCGTTGGCAAGATGTTCGGGCCCAGGTCGCTTGCGACTTTTACCCACTGCCAGGCCTCGACGGCACGCCACAGCAGCCGCTTCAGCATCCACGGCGCAACGTCGAAGACCCCGATGCCGACGCTCTCGTGCGTCCTCCAAGCCTTGCCGTCCGCGATGACCCAGCCAGCCCTCTCGAGCGACTCACGCACCGCCGAAAAATGCCCACGGACTCGGCACAAGCTGGAAGCAAGGCACTGCGTCATCCCGAACTCGATGACTTGCCGGGGAATCCACTGCTCCCACGCCGCCTGCAGCACGGCCATCATGGGCAGGGCAGTGGCACAGTACATGGGGTCCTGGAACGGCGTGCGCATGAGCGTGAGCGACCTCGATCTGTTTGCCACATTGGGGGCCACTGCTGCGAAAACCACCGGCCTGAGTTTGTCGAGCTCCATCGTGGCGCAGCCCGTGACAGCGAACTCGTATCAGACACTCGCCTCCAGGCCAGATCTCGCCACCTTGCGCACGGCGTGATGCCACCCAGCGCTCATCTTCAGGATGGCGACACGTCGAAGGCGGAGACCAGTTTGCAACAGCTTGTCCTGCCTGATCTTGCCCGCTTCATCCGCTTGCCGCACGAGAAATCGGCGCCAGGATTCCCCTCTCGCCCTTGACCGACTGGGCGCCAAGCTGCCGCCGAAGTCGACGCTGGAGCTCATGCTTCGCAGAAGTGTGGTTGGTGAGCGCCCTCGACATCTTGATC